GGATTATAACCTTTATACCGAAGAGAGGAGACAATTTCGTCAGGTCATGGATGGAAAAAGGCGCACCCTAGAGGACCTGCGGGACCAGGGAAGCCGGAGGCAATTTCGTCAGGTCATTGATGGAAAAGGCAGTTTTTCTTATTAGCCACCTATGGGATGATTTCACCCAAAATTGGCGCACCCTGGAGGACTTGAGGCATCAACTACCAAGACTTCATGCAGTGAAAGAGCATTGCAAACGTCTCTTGGAGGCCATACCTAACCACTGGGGGCGGATGCTACGAAGAGAAGAAGAACACTCTATGAATACTTGGGTATTTTCAAGAGAAGAAGAAAACAGGGTGCTGAAAATTTTGGGCCCCGACCTGCAAGCGGGAATGAAAGCAGAAAAGTGGTTAGTAGGAAAAAGTCAAAATGGTAAATCTACCTTGAAATAGGAATGCGAAACTACTATCTAAACTACGGTGGGACTGACAGCAGCTCGAATACTGGAACAAGCCAGTAATGTTTCCAAGGATAGGATTCAACTGATGCAAGAAGGAACAACTTAGAAGGTAGACCCACTGGGCTATGGGTGAAAACTGAAGGGAGAAAAAGAGAAAATTGTTCCCCTCGCTCTTAGACGCTCTATACTCCACAAAAGTGGGAGCAGCCGCAATGCAAAGACATGTTAAAAAATTGTCACTGTAGGTGGCAAAACGCAGATTTTCTAAAACTCAGGGACCGGGCAGTCCAAAGCCTGAATTCACCTTACTGTGGCGTCTTCTGAAGAAACTTCCTTCACAAAGACAGGCCAACATCCTATGGACACAGACATTGTCAGTCACAACCTCAGCCTATTGGTTGCATCAGAGAGGAATGAACCTGAATTTGACCTGCACAAGATGTGAACGAGGCTGCGAATCCACAAATTATCTGTGGTTGTATTGTCCCCTTGCAAATAAGCTCTGGGAGTGGTGGAAGCACCAATGGCAAAGATGGACAGAGGCAAAATGGGATTGGTCAGACCACTGGATCCTGTTCAACATTCCACCAGAAGGTTCCAAGCTAGAGCAAGGCTGGGGATACGCTGCATTGGTCTGCAAGAGAGTTGTGCAGGAAGTGCTGTGGAAATCAAGGAACGCAAAAGTGTTTAGAAAAGAAGTATGGTCTGTTCATCAGCAAATAACTAATAGTATGGTAAAAGAGAGTTTGCACTTTACGATTTCTGTTGATTGAGTTTATTTTTCTGCACGGCGCGGCCTGACCGGAAGCGCCGCGCCGCTCCGCTATCGACATGAGCCGGCTTGTGAGTTGGTGGCGCCTTGTCGGCATGGCTCCCGGCGAGGAATATCGAGGAGGTGATGTGGGTGATGGCGCGCGGTTCCGTCGGTCTTGTCTGGCACGGCCATTGACGTGATGCTTCGGCTGAAAGTTCTTCTAGACTTGATAACCTAGGCTGAAAAGGTGTCTTGCTTTGTGCTTCGTTTATGTGGTGTCACGGGTTGACACGCTAGAGGAAGGGGAGGCTGTCGGGGTGATTAGGATAGTCTTCATGAGATCTTGGGCATGGTTGTGGTCCTGCTCCTGTCTTCCTGCACGAATCTAGTGGAGGTCGGTTGGGTAGTGCAGGCAGATAGTGAGGAGCATCGTCTCATGCGGAGTGGGAGGTTACAAGCTGGAGCGTCAAAAAGAGCTGGCATTTTCATGTGTTATTTTGAGCTATTTCAACGGTTAAAGACACAGAAGCAGGTAGCAGCACAATTCGTCATCATCAGGGTGCTGCTCGTCATCACCATCATCATCATCATCAACAAGGTGTAGTTCAACATCATCATCATGGTAATGGTTCGCCATCACCATCATCATCATTAGGGTACTGCTTGTTATCATCATCAAGGCGTAGGTGTTCACTCCATGGGTGTTGTTCGTTACTCATCGTTGTACTATCATCATCAATAGTTCACTATTGTAGAGCGCGGTTGGCGAAGTTCATCATCATAGGGCGCTGCTTATCTTTATCATCATCATCATTATCAGGTTATCATCAAAGGTGTTCGTCATCAGCACCATCATCATCCTGTTGTCATCACAGGGCACGGTGTATCACCATCATCATCATCATCATCATCATCAGGTTATCATCAAGGTGCTCGTCATCAGCACCGTCATCATCTTGTTGTCATCACAAGGCGCGGTGTATCATCATCATCAGCATCAGCATCAGCAGCAGCAGCAGCATCAGCATCGACATCATCAGTATCATCATGATTATCATCATTCTTTTGTAATCATAGAGTCAGCCGCATCATTCGGTCTCATTCTCATCACAACCATCATCATTAGCATCATCATCAGTTTGTCATCATTAGACGTTTGCTCTTCAAGGTATTGTTTGCCGTTCACATCAGCAGGTGAGTTGGTTGTCACCATCATCCTCATTAGCATCATTTTTAGGGTGCTTTCCGTCGTCATCAGCAAAATCCAAAAAAAAAAAAAATCATCTACCTTTCTTCATCACGACTTTCAAAAATTTCCGATTGGATCGTTCCCGGAGGGTTAAACGGTAGGAAGGGGGAGGGGGGAGCTCTATCTTGCAGGGGCATCACAAGGCGGGGGGTGAATGTCTCAAAGAAGGTWGGGGCRGAGTAGGGGGTTGCCCTAWTCTGGGGCAGGGGCTGGTGTGTGGGTCAATATCAGTCCCGGCGGAGGCAGAAATGGGCAAGGGGCTGGGGGGGCATGCTTTAGGTGGGAAGTGCGTGCTCCTGGGGAAAGGGGGGTAGAGGGTTGGTCCTATATTGGGGCCGAGGGAGAGTGGGTGACTCACCTCGGCAGAGGCAGTGTAGGGCTGAGGGGGAAGGGGTAGGGGGGAAGGGGCGTTATTTCTTGAATAAGTCTATCATGTAGATTAAACTTACTATTTCTTTTCATTTGGTTTGCCGCTTGAGGAGGTTGTAGGAATAGGTGCTATCTGACAATTCATCTGTGATCCTGCGAAGGGTGGTTGAAAATTCGGTTGGCCCTCGAAGACCGATGCTGGAGCAACACTGGCTGGAGCCGGAGCCAGGTGGCGCAACTCTGTGACCTAGCTTAGTGGGGGCGTGAGGCCTGGTGGAAAGCTCTGGGAGACTGTGTGCGAGGGCTGTGTGCGGGGGCAGTCTCAGTGGTCATCCGGGGTCGTAATTGGAGCAACGCTGGCCAGTGCTGGAGCAAGGTGGTGCAACTCTGTAACCTAACCTGATGGGAGCATGAGGCCTGGAAGAGCTTCAGTTCGTGCTGAAAACAGTCATGCTGGTGGTGGTCGAAGGTGGATTGAATAGGTTTCACTTATCTGATCTGTCGGTGGTTCTTATGAATGTCTTAGGACTCTAGGGACTCTTAGCAACCCATCCTAGTAGTCGGTTTTGAAGTGGTTATACTCAGTGATCTGCGGCTGTTCGATGCCAGAACGACGCTGGCTGGTGCTGGGGTGTTTCCCTGTAACCTGCTGATGCAGGAGCGTGAGGCCTGGTAGAGAGATCTGGGGATGCTTTGGGGTGGGCATCCCAAGGGACAGCCAAGGTTTGCTGCTGGGACGACGCTGGTCGGAGCTGGGGCGAGAGTTGTGTTGCCCTGTAACCCAGCAGGGTGGGGGCGTGAGGCCTGGAAGAGCTCAGCAGGGAGTAAGACTGTGTTGGAAAGTCTTAGAAGGGCTTGTTAGGGATCCTGAGGGTTGTGAGCATTCGTAGGACCTCTGTGGCAGTCTACTGCATGAGTAGTTCCTTAATAGGTCATTAAATATTCACAGACTGATCTCAGCCGAAACCCCGTAATGGCCCCGGTATCTCAAATGATCGCAAATGTTCTCAAATGTTCTTCATGATCTGTACAATTCCATATGGGACGCTGGGCGCGCTTCCCAGCACCTGCTGCTCCCACGAATAGATTGGAGCATTTCCTTTCAAAAAAAAAAAAAAAAAAAAAAAAAAAAAAAAAAAAAAAAAAAACGATTTCTGCTCAGTGGAGTAAGTGCAAAGCCAGATCAGTCCGAGGACATCGTCTAGCTGCAATAACTGAGGACTGCAAGATGAGCTTGGCAGACTGGCTAAAAACATTCGTTGTCCACAGTGGTCCACAGACATGTCCATGTCCATTTCCAGGCGTTAAATCCAACCCTTTCTGCTACTACCGTCTTCGCCCCGAACATAACGCACCCTGATAATGAACGTGTATACAAGGTATGTTGCCGGCCCGATACAGTCAAAATGAAGGTGCGTTGTGTTCGGGGGGAAGACGGTAGTGGGACCTCGCCCCTGCGGCCATGAGGCTACTGTGCGCTTCTTTCTCTTTGTCGTTCCATGGAGATCTCTTTCTGTTTGTCGTTTCCATCTTTACCGCGGGCTAGGTCCCACTTACACAAATTATTAAGCGATATTGACCGTAGATAGCAAAGATCAACGGCCAGAATCTCTTAATCCGTGCAAGTGGGACCTTGCCCCCGGTTGTGATGCCACAATGTCAGACCTTTCAGCCCAGTTTTTTTTTTCTTTCTTTCTTTTGTGACGATCAGTTACAGCGACAAAACAAATTAAACTCTGGAAGTGACGAATTAAGTTAATTCTAGATTTCAATTAATTCCGCTCACGAATATCAGTCAGCGCGATGCATCAATGGATTCATATCGCAGCGGCACACACACACACACACACACACACACACACACACACACACACACACAAACACACACGCACATGCGCGCATGCAAGGTCAGAGAGAGAGAGAGAGAGAGAGAGAGATCGCAGCCGCGCACACACACACACACACACACACACAAGGGACGCAAACACAAACACACGCACATGCGCACGTGCAAGGTCAGAGAGAGAGAGAGAGAGAGAGAGAGAGAGAGAGAGAGAGAGAGAGAGAGAGAGAGAGAGAGAGGGGAACAGCTGAGGGAAGGGAGGCAGATGCATAGCGGAATGAAAAAAGGAGAGAGACAGCAAACAACGCTTCATAAAATTGAAAGAAGCATTTCCATTCCAGAAATTATTGCACACTCGTTGTCGTCCCTGTACATCTCCCTCTCTCTCTCTCTCTCTCTCCACACACACACACACACACACACACACGCATTGTTCCCTGCCTGTTTGTCAGTCTCTGTGCAGTAATTACCCCTCCTTCTGCGTATTCCGTCGTCTTTCTTCGATCGAATGCGCGAGTTCCTCTACAAAAACCAGAGGGGGTCTAAGCCTTAGGAAAACGCAGATGACAAATCCACATCCGCTCTCTCTCTCTCTCTCTCTAACGCAGATGACAAATCCACATCCGCTCTCTCTCTCTCTCTCTCTCTCTCTCTCTCTCTCTCTCTCTCTCTCTCTCTCTCTCTCTCTCTCTCTCTTTTAAATGTCTAATTTCACCAATTGCAGTTCGAAAACGATTCTTTCTTAGACTAATTTTACAAAACGCCGAGTGCTCCTTTAAGTTCTCAGATTGACACCATCCAAGCCGACCGAGCCGCGTCCTTCCTCACATCTACATCTACTTCTCGTAAACCTTCACAGTATTGACCGAGAACTTTCATCGATGTGACAACGGTCCAATCGCGGATAGGTGGTAGGTGGGGCGAAGCAAAAAAACCAACACACGATTTCTAATCGCATTCTCATCATTTCAATCAAATTTAAAATCTGTTTATCACCTATTACCTTGCCTTCTCTCTCTCTCTCTCTCTCTCTCTCTCTCTCTCTCTCTCTCTCTGTGTCTTGTCAGACCGATAAAACGGCCTTGCCAACCGATAACCACCACTGTCATAGCGAAAGGGATGAAGTGAAGCACTGAATGCTGAACAGCTGGCACTGCCTGCCATTCAAAAGAGGCCACGTGTCAATCAGAAGAGGCCACGTGTCATTTAGAGGAGGCCACGTGTCATTCAGAAGAGGCCCTCCAACATGGCCACGTGTCATTTTTAGAGGAGGCCACGTGTCATTCAGAAGAGGCCCTCCNCATTCAGAAGAGGCCCTCCAACATGGCCACGTGTCATTTTTAGAGGAGGCCACGTGTCATTCAGAAGAGGCCCTCCAACATGGCCACGTGTCATTCAGAAGAGGCCCTCCACCATGGCACACACAGGTGTAGATCTTCGCCTTCTCATCGAAAAGCACTGTACCCGTCGTACGTAGCAGCATCGATGGATGCTACCTAAGCAGAGAAAATAAGACACCGTCAGCTATGCGACATAGACAGACAAAGAGGTACGGACACGCACAGAGAGAGAGAGAGAGAGAGAGAGAGAGAGAGAGAGAGAGAGAGACAGAAGAGTTTTCTCCCCTATTCCACCTGAGAAAATCTCCATTCCGCTAGCAAACGTCCTCTTCCCACTCACTGTTCAGTGCGACGGTGTAGTTCCTATTCCTCCCTTCCTAGTTGACATAACCCTCCTCTCTCTCTCTCTCTCTCTCTCTCTCTCTCTCTCTTGGAGGGAGAAGAATTATCGAAAATCTTCTCTGAATCTCCGAACATACTCAAACCAGGACTTGTTGCGATGTATCTAGCCGGCAATTCCGGCCCAATCCATTCGATTGAAGGGAAAAAAAAAAAAAAAAGTCCTCGTCTGAGTACAGCCGCCTCCTCCTCCTCCTCCCTCCCTCCCTCCCTCCCTCCCCCCTGGACCGACTCATTCTCTGCCTCTCTCACACACTCCCGTCAGTCATGGGCTACTCGCACTAGCACTACCTACCATGTATCACACCCGCTTTTCCGGCCGAATCCGCATGCATCTGGCCGCAATTCCGTCCAGAAACATGTAAAAAAAGTGCTAGACTAACTGTGAGTATGCACCCCCACCCCCACCCTCACCCTCACCCTCACTCCCCTCTCTCCCCTCACTCACCTCACTCCCCTCCCTCACTCCCTCTCCCTCGCTAACTGCACGCTGCCGGTGGATGTGCGAAATGGGAGAACCCTGGTATTGTGGGTTTTAGGAATGCCAACTCCGCCTTCGGAAATCCTAAGCCTGTACTTAGTCCTGTTCCCAGACCAGATGCATTCCTTCCATTGCTACTGCTATCTAGGCTCGTGATTCTCTCGCACGATGGACACATGGCTAGCGTAGCTGCTGTGAGCGGCATGCACAAATCCTGAGAAATGATACAGGGGGGAACCACCTTTATGGCCGACTTCAGGTCTTGCAGCTCCTTGTGCAGCTTGCGGTTTTCCTCTTTTAAAGTCTCGCAGAATCTCTTCAAAACCTCAAAATCGACTTCTGTCTGCTTAAGCTTCGTCCTTGCGCGCCGATTTTGGAACCAGACCTCGACCTGTCGCGGCCGAAGATTCAGTTGTCTGGCAAGGGCGTTCTTTTGCTTCTGGAGAGGGAAAAAAAAAACAAAAAAAAAACAGAGGAAAACAAACAAGGACAGAGAAGAAAAAAGACCGCAGGTTAGTCAAATCGTTTTGCAATTCATTCATTTTTAATGTCTTAATCGAAAGGGAAAAAAAAAAAAGAAAAAAAAAAGGAAAAAAAAAAGGGGGAAAATAGAAATACAAAAAGAGAAAATAATGTTCGGAGTTCTAATTACATCTTTCAGGTTTATTTTTTTATTTTTTTTTATCAAGTGAAAGGCGGAAATCTTTTACTTCTTTTGGTTCACTGTAGTTCAACGTGGCTCCGTGCACGGGCTTGGCCGGGCCGTGGTCCCACTAGCGAAGAAGAGGATAGGATAGAAATCCTGAATCTGGCTATGTTTTATGCAGAGATACAGAAAAGCAGTTCTATCTCGATCTCCTGCTCCTGTCCTCAAACACGTCCAGATTCAGTCATTCAATCCGCTGCTCTTTGCAAATATGGAACAACGGCCCCGGTGATGCCCCGGGGACGCCAGGCCCGTTTGTAAGGGACTGGTATTATAAACAAATTCCGAGACTCAAAAAAAAAAAAAAAAAAAGAGTTTTCTCGCTTAAAAAAGTTTCTTCTTCTTCTTCTTCTTCATTCAATTCTTCTTTTTGTTAAAAACAAATCGAAGCACCTGGGCACCAGAGTGGGCCAGGACCACTTGCGCGGCCGGGCAAAAAACAAAAACACATATTTATATATATATCGTCACAAACAGAACTGCCCGGTAAACCGTAGGCAGAGAGAGAGAAGAGGACAACAAACGAGGGGCTGTGGCAAACTGTTTCGTCGGAGTTTCACCGACTCATATATATTTCATTTTTCATTTGGTAAAGAATTTCGAAGTGACCGAGGCAAGGGTTGTTCCGTTTATTTTTCTGCACAACATAATTTTTTTTAATTATTATTTTTTATTTTTATTTTTTTGCTGCGACTTTCCCTGGTCCTTGCACGGCAGGACCGCCCGGGAAAAGCGGGTGACCCGTGCGGCCCGGCTGGTGGTAGCCCAGAAAAGCAATTTAAGTCAAGTGCCCAGTATCCATCAACCACTCCGTGATCTTTCCTTTTTTGTTCTCATCTCCGATAATTTCCTATTTAGACGGGCTTCGCCGCTCCACTCGCAAAATGTGCAAAACGAGAATGAATCTTTCCCAAGAACACGGAAAGATACACCGCCATAATTTTTTTGTTTTGTGCATTTGGTAAGCGGTGCGGCGAGGGCAGAACAGACATTGAAGTGAGAGCGACAATATGAGAACGGGAACAAAATTAATAATGAATTAATAATACTATATTGTACTTACGATGGGGCGAGTGTCTTTGTGTGCGGAAGACCACAAAAAAAAAAAAAAAAAAAAAAAAAAAAATCGACTCAGCCACCACAAGTCAGGAAGGGGTGCGCTTAAATTTTGAATCTCTTAATTACGTGCAGTTCGTACTCTTTAGGAAAATTTTGGATCTTATTAAAAAAAAGAAAAAAAAAAATCGATTTCTTTTTTTTTCTCTCTTTAAGCTTTCGATCTCTTTTTTTTTTTTCTTTTTTTTCTGCGGGTGGTTTATCCCTGCTGGCCCCCTAGAATGTACACGTGGGCGGTCGACACAATACGCGCGCCAACGCGAACCTCCTCTCAAGGCTAGACACGTGGCGATGTCTAATTGCACGGTTGCCCTCTTACCGGATTGGCAGTGGAACACAGAGAAGAGAATGTACATATGTACATGTCGAACACGGGAAAACAAAAGAGAAGGAAAAAAAATAATAATAAAAAAAAAAGGAAAAAAAAAATCAAAGGGGCAAACGTCGTAGAACTGATCAAAATCTCATACTCAATGAAATAACTCAAAAGGATTAAAAAAAAAAGGAGGAAAAATTAAAGGAAATCGCGACAAGAGTATCGCCGGCTGGACAAGTAATGCCACGTCAGCACTGTAAACGACTAAAATGCAATATTACAATGAATAAAACAAACGAATAAAATAAATGAACAGACATAAATGAATCCTAAATAAATTCGATAAATAAAATAAAATAAATAAATGAAACCAATCGATAAAATCATCGGATCGCATGTACGTGCGTGTGCCATGCTCTGCTGCAAATGACACACGTGGAAAAAAACATTTTCCTGGAAATTATTTTTTTACGAACGATATTGTTCCGCCCGGCGCGTTTCCCGGCTACAAATAAAAGGTTTTCTTTTCTTTTTTTTCTTTTTTTTATTTTTTTCCTTTTTTTTCCTTTTTTTTCTCTTTTTTTTTTCTTTTTCTTTTTTCTCTTTTTTCTTTTTCTTCTTCTGTTTCTTTTTTTCTTTTTTTTTTTCCCGTGTAGGCAGACGTGTGCATCTCACGTGAACGAGTGTGTGCATGCTGACGTGTACACGTGCGCATGTGATTATCCTGACATTGCACATGGGGATAAATCTGCAGAGCTCCCGGTTGCTTTCAATCGGAAGAGAGATTTCATGTGAGAGAGTAATCTGTAAGTGAGCACGTGTATATGTGTGCGTGTTCAATGAATAGCAAAGCGGATGAGCAGGGAGGCTTCCCAGTTGCTCTGCTCCTGTGACTCGGTCTCTCTCTTCTCTCTGCGACTCGCTTTGTCGTTCTCTCTCTCTGTGACTACGTCTGTCTCTCTCTCTCTCTCTCTATCTATCTATCTATCCATCTATCTATCTATCTTTCTATCTCGCTCGCTCGCTCTCGCTCTCTCCGACTCGTATGTCGCTCT